ACACACATCCACCTGACTCAAGAAAATAGAAATAATTTGATGTAGAAAGGGGGCCTCCCAAAATGCATTTTTGGCCAAAACTGAACACTCATACAATTATTCATATGCCTATGAAAAAATTATATATTTACGCTGTAGTAAATGCATTCGCTACTTCAATGTGAAATATGTATAGTTTTGTAAATTGCAGAGATATTCTCATCAAAGAAAGAAATAAAAGAGAGCGGAAGAAAATAGTATAAGTGTGTTGACTCAGAAGGGAGAACTTGAAATAAGAACAGTTGCATCTGCATAAAGACATTACAATTGTCACAGATTACCAGAATGTAGGAAATAGAGTTATCAGATTTGTTAACAGCTATCGTGTGTTTACCAAAGTCAGATCAGCCTCATGGTTGAGTATCCATTGTATAGGCTAAAAACTGAAAACACAGATCCAGTCGTAGATGAAGATCAAGGCCTGTCTCTTTCTGCAGATCTGTGATCTTTGTTTGCGCAGATGAAGTCAATGCTCTTCAGAGTTATCTTGCAGACAGTTGATGCATTCAAAGTGCTCGATGTGCTGCATTAAATGAAGGTCAAATTCCTTCAGCATAATAGGCACCACTAAAGCTGCAAAAACAAGCGGGATGCTTCTGCAGGAAAGCACTTTGCAACAAACCTGTTCTGGTAAAAGCCCTTTAAATGTATACTGCTTTACAATGACTGAAAATCGAAAAACATCTTTGATCTTCTTATCTGTCACGTTGTGATGACATTTGCTTCTAAAAAGGCAATTAAACAGGGGCTGTGATCTCTAAATAACCCACATACTTAAATAGATCAATTGGTTTCTGAAGGCGTCTTCTTCCAGTGTACATGCAGAAGACCTTATCATTTTACAGTTAATCAGCGGTGTTAAAAGAAGCGCTGTCAAGCCATTGATATGTGGGACGTTTAATTAGCTGTTTTGCCATTCACACTTTACTTGCATAGGCTGTTTTTCTGCTAGATTCCCAAACAGTGTGTTATGTGCTGAATCGGCATAGATTGGGTGAAAAGGGCAGAGCAGCTCGCTTTCGTTAAAACTTCCAGACAGCTAACAATTGTTAGACTCCACTTCATAGTATTTGATAAGCCTTCCTATTATTTCAAGTTCAGAGATGTCCCTAGTTATTCAGTGTTTATGATTTTAAGATTCCTTTATTATAAATAAATATATATTTGTTTATGATAGGGCTGTCAAAATGTTTGCGCTAACGATTAACCTGGAAACTTTAGTGTGCTAAACATTTTTTAATGAATAAACAGCACTAGTGTGTATAGTATGTGCTTGTGTGTGTGTGTGTGTGTGTGTGTGTGTGTGTGTGTGTGTGTGTGTGTGTGTGTGTGTGTGTGTGTGTGTGTGTGTGTGTGTGTGTGTGTGTGTGTGTGTGTGTGTGCGGCATGGCCACAGCAGGCTTTTGTGCATTACGGAAGGTGTGAACCAATTTGTTTCCGCACAACAGAGGAAAATAATAACAGTACTCTGCAGACCTCTTTGATTGTTACAGCAACATACTGTACTGTCCAAACCATAATTAACTGAATACACAAAACACAACCTTATGAAACAAACCACACTGTGACGGTGTAATTATGCTGTTTCCGATCACTAAGTGCTATCTGTAGTCACTGCTGGGGGGTGTTTTGTTAAGCTAAGCCTTACTGAGTCAGACTAATCCTTATTGAATGCAGGAGCTTCTTTTAAAAAGGAGATTGCTGCATTTGTGTTTAATCTGCTGATTGTTATTCTGCTTGAAAGGCCTGTTATTACCGCACAAAAGTATATATAAGTGTTTGGACAACACTGCACTACAGACCTACATTAAAAACTATCCTAAAAAATGACGTGTAAAGTTACTTATCTGTCCTGTTCTCTTCAAACATTCTGTTTGGTATATTACTTTTTGGGTTATGCAAGTCTCTATTAACCAAATAATTATATATTATCATTATTGCATTAGTATTTTTTAATAATGATAGTGTTATAACAATTAACGTCCTGCAACTAATCAAATAGTCGTCGGACATAACAATTATTGCTAGTTATTTTTGATAAATTAAAGTATTTTTCATTTCAAAATGTTATTGAATGCCGTTTTCAGCATTTCAAAAACAGAGATTTGCTCAGTTTTGTATCATCAACAATTAATATATTCAGTTTTTTGTGAGAAACACCTGCAGCACCTACACAGTAGAATTTATTTTTTCCTTTGTAAACTGAACAACACCCCCCTAAACATTAGTTTAGAACCTTTACAACTTTACCAACTTTATATTCTGCTCCACGATGTATGTCGTGCTCTAAGTGGCAACTGCAGAATAGCTTCGTGTTGAATCCCATACGCGGCACCTACACACACCCACCCAGGTTCACACAGAATCAGCTCAGAGCATGTGTAGGCAAGTGTGAAGTCTGCAGAGATGCTGCTGTGTCGCGTGTCTATTGTTGGGGTATTTTTGGATTCCTTTTTTTAATCACACATCATATGTTCAACACTGAGTCGGCTTCTTGTCAAAGGGTAATTGCATTCACTATAAAATAAGTTTCTTGAATTAATTCAATCTAAATGTTGTTCGGCTTCGTTTATTGTATCGTTTGCAACTCAAAATAAGGGATTTTATGGTTTATTTATGCTTGATACAGTTATAACGGCTTCATTGTCTTTTCATGACAGTAAGAAAATGATTATAATCAAACCCTCCAGACCACAGAGATCAAACTGTCGTTAATTCCTACAGGGCAAGTATTTTATAATCTCATGCTGTGAAATCCCACTTAACTTCATATCTTGACATGGAGATACAGGAATGCATATAGATCAAACAGTTATGCAAGTGATCATGCTAATGTTTCTGAAGAACGTAAAAGAAATTGAGGTCATTTTCCAGTTACTGGCTTAACAAACTCAGTGCACAGGGAATTCCAAATGACTGAATAGAACCTCCAAAACATGCATATTAATGTCATTTTATGTGACTCCAAATTTGATTGCTAGTGATGTGCAAAATAACACGGATCAGAATGTGCAGGATCGTTTCAAATGAAGTGTGAAATGCTCCTAAAAGCATATTTTCCCTCATTTCCTGGGTGGTTACCTGCCTCGCACTGCAGGTAGCGTCACATGCTGTCAGAACACGTTAAGCGCGCTACCTCCTGCAGTCTCTGCTCTTATGAGGCCGCAGATTGCCCGTCTCACTGCGGCATTAATCAACAAACGCACAGCTCCCCTGCAGCCACCTGCGCCGAGCGTGGCTGCATGTGAAATTAGTCGTAATTGATGTGCACTTCCTCGTGGTGCTCTGTACAAGGACCTGTGCTGCCGTGGGTCTCTGCTTCAAAGTGCAGGCTGTGACGGAGAACACACCGCCTGGTTGTCTCTCTCTGACTCAGCTCACACACACACACAACCTCCTCCATTCACCCCCCTCTTCTCCTCTCATCCTCCGACTCCCCATCTCTCCTCCTTGCAATTTGCATCTCGCACACTGCACTCTCTCTCTCTCACACCCCCCTCCACCCATCTGCTTGCTGATACGGTGATACTGCGAGTCTGACTTAATAAAGCTTGAAGTACATGTTGTCATTCCAACTGTCGATCATTGTAATTATTCATAGATGGAGCAGAGATTGGAGTGGGAGGTGAGGTCTCAGAGCAGCAGAATGATGCAGCGGCAGAGGTGTTTTTTTCGCTGGGTGGGAAGTAAAAGGTTGCCCTGTGCACGATTCAGCATTTTCACAACTCGGAATATCTTGTGTCTATATTTATCGTGTCATCTAGTCAGTCAGTCATGTGAGGCCAAGTTAAAAAGGAACGGTTTGCCTTGAATTTTGCTGGTTTTTAGTATGTACACTTCTCAAATATAAACATGGTGATTTCCTGCTGAGGTAACCCCTCGCTAAGAGCCTACACACACCTGTAAAGATTGTATGTCAAACTCTTAATGGCTAATCCTCAGTCCAGTGTGAAGTGTTGCTGTAAGCTTCTTAGCATGCATTTCTTTTGAAAATAAGTGTTTCTTAACCAAAGTGAAATAAGCTTAGTCTGTACTGTTGTGAAGGAAAATACTGAACAGCTGCTATTTTTGCGCTGACGCCCCAGTTATAAATTAGACCATTTGTTTGGTTGCAGTTTTTAAGCCAAAACAAAGGCCAAAATGTGTCTTGCATTTGTTATTGTTACAATCTGAGTCTGAAGGAGACAAGGCTGCTTACAGTAAGTTGGCTACAGTATAGAGGACATTGTCAAGTAGTCTGTATGTTATAGATTTCCTAGCTTTATAAAAGTCCATCTGAGAGGACAACAAGCAACTAAATCCTTTCCATTCCACCTTTTTTGTGTATACAAGAGTTGCATCCGTGTTTATTTACTTCTTCCTCTGCAGAATCATCTCATAAAACCTTGCTCTCGGGTTCCCTCGTTTGTGTTTTCTTCTTTAAAAATGTAGCACTTTTATCTCTGTTTATCTACCTGACATGTTCCCTTAACAGAGGTCTTTTCTGCGCGAGGCCAAGGTCAACTGCTCTTCTGCAGCACATCAAAATAGTAAACCAACACCTTTGAAGTTATTTAGCCTTGGCACACAGCGAAGCCGTAGTGAGAATTAAACCAGCTTGAGATACTTCAAAAGCAAAAAGCACAATTCACAATGGGAAATGTTCTGTATTGGATTATTATATTTTAGTTTGGCTGAAGATTGGTACCCTTGGCCCAAACGTCAGTCTGTCTGTTTATTTTTTTTCGCTGGCTTCAATCAAATCAAGCTTCTGTTGCACTGTATCTAAATGCTTTTAATGTTTTGAATTGCTTTATGTTGAAATGTGCTGTATAAATAAACCTGCCTTGCCTTGTAGAAAAAGATAATTGCAGGTTTTGCTCTCAGACTGACGCAATTGAGAAGAAAGAGGAAATCGACAATTAGACTTTTCGGCCAAGGGGTCTAATTTTCCTAAACATGTTTTTTTTTAATAATTATAGACAGCTCGGCCAGCATCATTGCCAGGCGGAGGCGCTTCAACCAGCAGACCCAGGAGCTGTACGAGCTGCCCATCGTGGTGTGGGACGGCGGGGAGCCCTCTCTGAGCGGCACCAGCACCCTGACCCTGAGGGTGTGCCCGTGCCAGCGCCACGGCAGGGTCCGGATGTGCCAAGGCGAGGCGTTCCTCTCCTCCGCGGGGCTCAGCACCGGAGCACTGATCGCCATCCTGCTGTGCATCGTCATCCTGCTGGGTAAGTAAGGACAGCCACAGCAGGGGAGGGGAGGGGGGGGGGGGAGTGCCCGGGGCCAAATATCCTGAGGGCATGGACAGAGGATGTGAACCATAGAGGAGCAGGGAAGGGTGGAAGGGGTTTTTTGACAAGGGCAGAGGAGGAGAGAGGGATGAAAAGACGTGCGGGGACACAGGGAGAATTAAGAATGAGGGTGGAAAGAGTTGGAGAGGGCAGAGGTGGAAGAAAAAGAAAAGGAAATGAAGGACAGAGGAGAAGGACACAGAAGGAGTAGGTTGGAGGAGAGGTGGCTAAAAGACGCTGGGGACAAAGACAGCAAAGAATGGAGACTGCAGGGTCGAATGTGTGATTCACACAACTGGAAAAGAATAAACCTACAGTGGTTGGAGGGTGGAACTTCGATTTAAGAGCAGCCAGGATTCATGTGCAGACAGGCGGCTTGAAATCAGGAAATCAGATTATACTTAAATCACATTTGTTGGCAATTCGATCCATATGTGCTCTTTTACTACGCATCTCAATCTTCCTCCCACATGTTTAACATCTCATGTTGTGACTGAGGGAAAGCATGCGGGAATGTGGTGACAGCCAAGAAAGAGACTGATTTTGGACTTGTTCTGCACCATGACTCCATTAGATACATTAAACTAGGCAGGACTACATCAGTGCAAGCATCTCATGGCAGCAGCAAGTCAACACGCCTTCAGTCAATGAGTACGTGTGTCTTGTTACCATAGCAACCAGTCCTGGCCAAGTGATTATAAATAAACGTTCTAATATCTTGACACTTCGAATGTCAGCTTTAGGGGTGGAAGACGTTGGAAAGATGGTGCAAAATCCAAGGTCAAATATAGCAAAAGTCCAAACAAATCTCCTGTCAGAGCATCTCCTCCCTCTGCAAACCAAACCGCAGCAGGACATGATTTGACAAAACTGTCGAACAACACGCCTCAGCGTATCTGCTCTCCCTCCTCTCTTCAGTGATTGTCTCTGGACATTAGCGCGTGAAGGTTATGCATATTCATACTGGCTGTTTCCTCCTCCATGCCAAAGCCTCTGGCTGCGGCGAACAAAAGGCCATCACCGCTGTTCGGAGTGAGAGACACACACTGAATCTGTAATCACCAACAGATACTAGTTAGGACGGAGAGAGAGAAACAGCAAGAGGCAGGATATGATCACACTTCTTCTTTTTTCGTGTTGCATTGCGGTTCACACTTTCCAGTAACAAGTGAGGAGTCTCACACTCGGCTCATATACTGGACAGAGGTCTGAAAAACCTGTCACCTCATATTACACATTTGTCATTGGGTTGCGGGCGAAATAAATCAGATTTCACTTAATTTAACACCCCATAATTTGACTTGACCGAACAATTGTTTCATTATTCCCCATCTCTGGTGTTCATAGCAGAAAGAAATAGCTGAATGTGGGTGTCTTGGGGTAACGCATGCTTTTTTGCCTGTCATGCATTTCTCTCACTGCACTGCAAGGCTTAGTATCAACCCTCAATACTTAATGGGCTCATTTACACCTGGTATTAACATGGGTCCCCCTTATTAAGCCTGCAGCAACCCAGAAAGGGATACAAATATAAATCTCTTAGCTGACTCAGTTAATAATGGCCTTCACACATGACTTGCACAACATAAAATATTGTCAAGAAAAAACATTATGAATGAACTCAAGTGACTTTGTACCAACACAGACCAAATACTAATGGCAATTGTAATATATTTTATCTTGATAAAAGGTAATTTTAGGAAATTACCCATAGCCATGTGCATAAGTGTGCACTGAAAAAGTGAGTTTTTTTAATCACATCCTCTTTAATATGGTATAATAACTGGTCCCTCAGTCTAATCTTCCATAACAAGGAGAAATGTAGCATGAATGAGACTCCTGCAATGGCTCCTGCTATAGAAATATATATCGGATAACTGGGGTAATACTGTCAGGTGCCATAAGTGGTGTAGTGAGTAACAGTTAGACCTCCACTGGCCTTGGCGAGGCAAATGAAATGACCTGAATGGACCATCGAGAGAGCATTAATGTCAAGGGTGTAATACAATATGGTGTGTGTGCACAGTGGATGGGAATAGACAGCAAATACAAGCAGACCACAAACTTTGGAAACTGCAGTTTGGCATATGAAATGCTGTTAAATAATAAGGCGGTATTAAGTGAGTCATTATTTTCATACCAAAAAGAGTAGCCAAATAAAAAGTAGCTGAGAAATGAATGGAAAAGGCAAAATTCTGTATTTCCTAGTTCTGCTGACAATGGTTTACCCAGCAGATTCTCAAATCCTAACATTGTTTAATTGGTTTCCCATAACTGGTTAAACAATAAGCACTGTCCCACAGAAATTGTGTTTTTCACCTTCTCCAACCCCACTTGAGGTAAAGTGAATCTGTTTTAGTTTTTTTGTATAGTTTAATCACATGCAGGTTAGGGGACATTTCATTAAAAACACAGACTAGGAAGCGCACTGAACAATGAAATATATGTAGATGTGTGCATAATAACTTTAGTCATAAGGTGTTTAAGGGAACAGTCAAACAAATTGTTGTGCCTAATGGAAAATGTGACTTTCTTGCATTCCAAGTGTAATGTCCCATTATGTAACTGCCACGCTTGTTTTGAGGGAAATGCATCATGGCCTCAAGTGGTGCAGTTACTGGAATGAGTGTTGGGGTTCCACCCTGCGGTTAAAGCATGAAGAAGTAGCAGTGGGTGTATGAACCCAGACTTTATAAATCGGCCAAATAATTACATTTGAAGACGATACAAATCACAAGGAGAATAAACAAATAATTGTTCAGTTTTGAAGTTCCTAAACCTACTTTAGAGCAGTAGGGAACTACATCTATGTTTTGTCAAACCCTAATCCTATTTTAAAGTAATAGAGGGATTAAATATATTTCCTGTCCAACCCTAGTCTCTAACTCTTCTGTAAAGTAGTAGTGGACTACATCTATCGTTTTCAGTCTATTCTGGTACATTTCATCAGTTCTGCCACAGTTAGAATGGGATTATTCACACCTGCCTCAGAGAAGAACTGAGAAAGAATCGGCTGCAGGGTTTAACTAAACAGCTGAAGCTTGGTGTAAACACACCTTTAGTCTGCTCCGAGGCTTAAATCTTCTTTGAAATTGCTTTACAGTATGCCTCTCTCTCCGTACTCTCTACAATATGTATACAACAAATGTGTTGCTTGAATAAATACAGTAGATTAGTCAAATGCATCAGTGCATCCTTGACGTTATGAAAGCCTCTACCTCTACCTCCTCTTAATCCACCACCACTTTCATGTCTCTCTGTTTAGCTCTCACCTTGAATGTGTTACATCTCACCTCAGAGGCTGATCAGAACTGTGGTGCTATTTACAGTATATAAATAAACCTTATTACAGTTTTTTTATTCAATAACACGGTATATTCATCTGTTTTTATTCATACCCCTGCAGGAACGCTGATATAGCTCTGTGGTCTGTTAATGCAGCATATTGAACTCCTTTTAGATATTGCACTGATGTACAAATGTACTCTAATTCTATAAGCCATTTCATTAGATATATGTTACTGTTAACATCGTACAGAGAGGTCATTATTAACAAAAAAAGCCCTTCAAGATAACTCTCATTAGATGTACGAACAAGTTCCAAGCTGTATGTAGCATGTCATCAAATATTCCTCGGCTTCATGACTTCATTAGCAGTTGGAAAAGATATTTCACACTGGAAGCTACTTAGCTTTCATTGTGCTATATGTTCTCTAATATGGCACAACAGGCTCATTATTTCCACGTAAAACTCAAAGATGTGATATTCTTCCATATATTGTCACATGTTCACTTGATATTCACTGGCTGTTTAAGCTGGATGTTAGATGAAATGTTCCACAGATAATGGTAATGTGTGTATTGTCATCATCTCAACAGCTTGTATTCAAAGTAACATCACAGCCTTTGCTAATGTCAGCTAATGTGCTTTATCGATTTACAAATCTTCAACGCTTGGCTAGTTTTAGTGTCCTGATGGAAAAACAGATAAATATGCACAAAATGTCAGCTTGTGTTCACTTCCAACGTTTCTGTAATGTGATAGTCTTCTGCTAAGCACTTCGTCAATTTAATTGTTGTGAAAAGCAATTTTCTTACTGTTGACTATAATCCAGAGTTATTACATATTTGAGTTTATTGTACGAAGTTAAATACTGGAATAATGCTCATACGTTGAAACCTATTGATTTTTGAGGGATATAATCCTCACCACTTTTCATTGAAACAAAGAACGCTTCTCTTTTGCAGTCATTGTGGTTCTCTTCATCACACTGAGGCGGAGCAAGAAGGAGCCGCTTATAATCTCTGAAGAGGACATCCGAGAGAACGTAGTCACGTATGACGATGAGGGCGGAGGCGAGGAGGACACCGAGGCCTTCGACATCATCGCCCTTCGTAACCCCTCTGCCGCCGAGGAATTCAAGTTCCGACGGGACATTCGGCCGGAGAAAAGAAAACACTGCGCGCTCCCCCGCAGCCACCGGGCCGCAGCAGTGGAGCTGGACGAGTCGGATGTGCACGAGTTTATCAGGCAGAGACTGGTGGAGGCCGACATGGATACCAGCGTGCCGCCTTACGACTCTCTCCAGACCTACGCCTACGAGGGCCAGGGCTCCCCCACGGGCTCCGTCAGCCCTTTAGACACTCCCGGAACACAATCAGAGCAGGATTATAACTACCTAGACGACTGGGGGCCCCAGTTCCAGAAACTGGCAGAACTCTACGCAGAGGCAGAGTCAGAGGTGACCGCCTAGTCTGGGATATCCCTCCTGTTTGAAATACATTTTTCAAAAAGCAAACTATACGAACAAACAGATGCTTTCAAACTGTTCCGGGGGTTTACAACTGTTGAACTAAAAAGACTGCTCTATCCTTTTTTTTTTTTTTCATTTTGTCAGTTTGAGCCATTCATCTGGAAGTATCGAATCAGATTTTGAGAGTGAAGAACAACAATATGGGGGGGAAAGGATATTTTCCTTGGTGTATATTTTTTATTGCTCAATAAAGTCCTGAAATCCATATGAGTGGATATGTGAAAAAATATTGCAAGTTTGTCTTCTTCCTCCACAAATGGATACGCAGTGCAGCATTCGATTAAGATTATCATGGTGGGAGGCATCTCCAAAGTGTTTATGTTCCACCAAGAAGAGGATAATGCTGAGCCTGCCATATGCGCAATAATGACACCTCCAGTCGATAACATGTTTGTAAGGCACATTCTTTTTTTGGCAAAAGGGTAGGCAAGCCAACACAAGCAGAGGATTATTATACAATGCAACTTACCGTTAACAAGTAGCATTTTCATTTCAAGCATTATACCCATCTGCTTTCCCAGCACACAGACCTACTGTAAATTATGCAACCTTGGTACCCTGGAGTTTCCCCATGATCTCCTCATGGGCCGGAGCTTTCCGATTCAAGAGGTGTGTGTGTGAGCCCTCTATAGGAGCCAGCCTTGCTGCTGCGCTTCATTAATTTGTTCGTGCTTGAAGCTTTTTGCAATAGGACCACTGGCCCTGAGATATGGTATAAACTCTTACGAAGGTGCAGAGGTACAACAATGCTTTGTCCAAAGTTGAATACGCTTAAATTCAATCAGGCTTTCTAGTGTGAAGTCTTACAAGGACAAATGACGAGTGTTAAAGAGAATACTCAGTATGCATATTAAACTAGTTTAGTTTCTTTAGGCGCCGTTTAACACGAGGAGAAAACTGCTTGTATCTGCATAGTTTCGCGTGCGTATAGCCCTATTATTTACACGAGGCCGATAGAAACTGACCCCACAAACGATAACGGGTCCCAAGGTGGATAGATTTGCAAACGAAACGCTCTGGGGGGTCAACCGAGTCCGTGTAATCACCTCTATACGAATATTTCCTGAAAAAATTGCGATAGCCCCACCTCTCCTGCTCACTGCTGTAGCAACTATCAAAAATAGCTGTGTTAATTAAACGCACAAGGGGTTCTTGAATGAAATAATATTATAAAAGGCAAACCAGAATTGTTAACGCCCAATATACTCCTTAAACAAAATAAACAGAGTCAGATTTCATGCATTGATCCATTATATTGACAAAGGTGCGATCTCACCCGGTGTTTGTAGAGAATATCTCTCTTTCTGAGCGTGTCCTCTCCACGGAGACGTGCTTCTTGGTCGGTCGATGCAATATCCACAGATTCGGTTTCTTTCAGTTAACTTCCCCGTTGCATTTATCCATATGCTGAGGAAATGACTATATCCCGCTGAATACCAGCAATCGCCACACACTTCCTCCTGTCAGTAGCTACTGCTAGTGCTACTGCTACTGACCATGCTACAGATATTAGTGCAAAATCTACAGCTCCTCTACCACAACCATCAGCAACAAGTGGACATGGAGAATTACATGAACTACATGTTGCTAAATACACCGCGGGGCTTAAACAGAAGGGTAGCCATGGCAACATTGCAGCGGGGCTGCTCGGGCTGCTCTTCTTCGCGGCTTTTGGTGTATTTTGGCGGAAGTTACAGCGCCACTTACAGTCCCGGCATATGTACTACAGCGTTTCCAGCGGCCTCGTTTGAACAGACACGTTAAATGAAACGAATGCATGTGAACGGAAGACTTTTTTGAATACGCATACTGTGCATAAACTCAAACGGTCCCGTGTGAGCGGGGCCTTAGTGTGCTGATGTTAACTGTAACTGTAATTCAACAACGAAACCCTTTTACATGTTAATAGTACTCCTACAACACGTGACTTCTACATATTCAAAAGTATTGATGAATTGAATTTGTTGAGTGATTTGTTCAAAAGAGGGTCACTTACGGTGGCTACAACGGCCCCAAAACACTTTCAAAGACGATGTAAATATTCAAACACAAATGTGCCAACACACATGCAACACCCTGTGCATGTTTCATCAAGTTGGTGAATGCTTTCTAAATGCTGCGTACCTGTTGTCAAGTTGGTGAAGATGATTCTTATCTTTTGGCACATTTGTGTTTTTTATATTTGCATCGTTCTAGCATGTAGCGCGTTTCTCTTAATGTATGTGTTTTTGACTGTTGTAATGCGTTTGCCTGTCAGCCACCGTAGTTACTTCTTTGTTACCTTCCAAGTAAAACAGGTGTAAGAACTATCATATTCACAATGTTATTGATGAGTTTGTGAAATGTCTAAAAGACAAGAAAACCATGTGATGTCATTTTCATAGCGGGGAATGAGATATCCAGTTCACCTCCAAATGGTATGACTCACTTTCATTTTGTGCTATTAAGCATCTAGTTAAACTGGGTCATGTCTGGAAAGTTCAGTAGCTGCCACCAGAGGTTAATGTCTCATTTGGCAACTAAACTCTCAACTCTCTGTGTAACATTGAAAGGAAACAAGAAGTGCCCGGGCACTAACACTAAAGACACTTTCACACGCACAGAACACAGTGTTTCTGTACCTTCTGATTAGTCATCTCCACCCAGCCCGGACTCTTTTGTCCTGTCATGCTCCTGTTCAGTGTTGGTTGCGTCAGAAATGCTGACGCTGGTCTTAAGAAAGAAGAAGGGAAGATGATGAATATTTCAGACCCCCCACTGGTAGCTCCTGACATACAGTAACAACTCTCTGTGCTCGTAACAATCTCCCGTCTCATTCTTCTTCCTCGTTTTCTTGCTCATTATTTCCCTCTGCTCACAAATGACTGTGTTTTTGTCTTTTTCACAATTGGATTGAAACCAGGAAACGAGCATAGAGATTTTGCTCATATAAGGCAGTCAGAGCCATGAAGCATAGAAGTTCTCGAACTGACATTCGGTATTTCTTTGCTTTTGTTTTTTATTCAGGACATTGTGTATTTTTAAAAGAGTGTTTGATTTAATTTAGATTAATTATCATATACATGCAGCTGCAATCAGTCTTGATCGTTCACTTCCAGTATTTTTCTCCCATTTTTTACAAAATCATTCTATCTTTCTTTCATTCTCTCAAGAGAAACCTTGCTCACAAAACTGTAACTTACTGATATCTGCCAGGTACCTAAAGTGTCTTTCTTTACCTCAGGGTACAAATATACGAGCACCTGCCCTGGAGGGCATTTTTGTAAAAAGAAACTGGGAATTTTGCAGTTTTGGAAAAAGGGAGCCTTGCTCTGGGAGATGGAGAGCTGCCTCCTTATAGAGAGAGTGCCCTAAATTCTAAAAGTGTCTGTTGGCAAGAAATAAAGACAATTATTCCATTTCTGTGACCTGAATCCGAGCGCTGCAAAGCATTTGTTAGGAGATTTCTGAGGAAAGCCTCTCAGTTGTACACTGGTGTAAGTGAAAGAAGGTCAGTGTACTGATTTCACACATGCAATCAGTATGAATAAGAGTGAAGAGTTGTATTTTTAATATATGGCTTTGGAGAAGCTTTACCAAGTCGGTAAATAACAGTAAATAACACTGTAAAGGTCTGTGTGTTCTAGTATTAAACAGGAGTTCAGCTTGTTGCTTTATTTTTGACCAATCCATCCTTAAGTATGCAACAGGAACTTTAATATTGTAGAGCATGGTTTAAAAATCCAAACACGACTTTTGATGGTCAATAAACAGCCCTGAAGCAGGAAATCATTAACTACCTCTGAATGATTTACTTGCACCACTAGCCAATTTCACTATATATAATTAAGGATCCTATTTGATTTAAAGGCACTGAATGTGACCCCTAATGGACACCATGGTCACTACCCTGCAGTGTTTTCATGCCAGACTAATGACGGGAAATAAACATAATATCCTCAGCAGATGCAGTGTTGGTCTATTGTACACAGCATGTTCTCATCACACCAATGGGCATGCAATTTGTGTCGAAGATAAATCTTGTGGCGAATAAAGCTTTTTAAGGAGGTTTGGTTGAGGGATTTTTCATCCATGACTGGAAAAACTAATCTTGCGGCAATTAGTTACGTGTTCGGTAATTAAGCATAGGTGACACTTAACAGAACAAGTTTCAACTGAGGAATGAACTAAGATGTTAATTAATTAAAAAGTGGTGTAAAGTTTCCAGAGTGCCAAATTGCGCTTTTGTTCAGAAAATGAACGGCGAGATAAGTGTTAGACACCGAGAGGGGTTTACATGGATTAAACCGTCACTCCCTGAATAAAGATTTCTTCCTTTTAGAGCCACAATCTTTCAAAGCCCGGCCCATATGTTTCCCCGATAAGGCAAGGGTAATATCTCACAGGCGCACGAGGATATGTGTTGGGGAAATAGCTCCCAAGGTTTTATCTTTTCTGAAAAGAAGCAGAATGGATTATCTAAGAAAACACCAGCCCAATTGCAAGTGGTGGTGGTTCCTGTGATATTTTACCGCACTCTTCACTCATAACATCCTTGTATCTGTTGGATAAGCAGCCACGCATCACGCACTTTGTTTACAGAGCAGGCTTGCATACCAAAACAGAATTAATTGCGCGTTGCAGGTCAAGGATGGATGTAGATTTATGTGTGTCTCTTACTGCCTGAGAGGGCTGTGGAGTCATTTTTTTGTTTTTTCACTGGGTTGTGTAAGCCAAGACCTCGGGGCCAGTGCTGCTTTCGTTACCGTTTGAGGTCAGAGGCTTTCTCAGAAGGTTTGAAGCTTTCACATCGAGTATGATTTCATAGAAGGAGGGCTTTGCATATTATAAATGTTCATGACTCTGGAGTATGCAAAGGTGAATTGGAAATAAAAGATCAAAGAGACTAAAGATCCTTTCAAATTCAAGCTTGCAATCATTAAAGTTGTTTTACCCAAAAGTTTGGGTAGTTGCAGAGGTTTGTTTGCTGTTCAAAAATTATTTGGAAAACTTCATCTTTCAACTCTTAGATGCCAAATGACTTCATCAGCGTCACAAGTTTTTCCACTGAAGTTGATGACTGTTGAGGGGACATAATGGGAGAGCTGTATGCCTGTGAATTCAAGCTTTGAAAATGAGTCGTTTTAGAAAGTACAATTACATAATTCTGATTGCTGAAGCCTGAACATGTCTCCACTGCTTTCAAGGGAAAGGGGAACTAAGGCT